TTGAGTAGGCTAAGTTTTAGTTTTAGAAAGATTTTACGGGCATTTGCAACACAATAAGGTCATATAAGAGCTGAATATTAGAGAAACGAACGCAAAAAGTAGGAGGAGAGATAAAGATGACAGATGTTTGACAGGAAAAAAGAAGCAAACTAAACCAAGGCAAATGCCAACCACCCAGGTGTTTCTTTTTTACTTGAATGTGCATGAAGTGCCTTTTGGAAATCAAATGTCTTAAGCTCAAACCTTTACATAATGTCGACCCGCTTTTAAATTATTTTGAATTTTTTCTGGAATTACAATTTCTTAATCTGTAGTATCGGTGCTTAAGAAATATTTTGTGAAAACCAAATTCTACATTTTGAAAAAAAGCGAGAAAAATACATAATGTGGAAATAATAAAACTGTTTTTTCTCTGTCTTGTAAGCCGTTGCTTTTTAAGCAGCTTGCCAACGATAGTATTATAGATGGGGCCTAAACCAAGTCAAACACAGTAAACAATATTCGTCAGGCGCTCCTCATAATAAGTAAATCAAAGAAAGCAACGTTATTTCGTTGTTATGTTGGCAGATTTGTGTCTTTTCTTTCGTGTGGGAGAGGAGGGGGTGTCTCAACCCCTTTTATGTCTATGTATAAACAACGATTTAATTATGTAAATTCTATCGTAAACACTGATCCCAAGACACACATAAATGTAAATTTGCAGTTTCCAAGGACACCCAAGCCTTGGAAGTCACCAAACGTTGGCGGACATTTTCTCAGCAATTGTAGCCTACCCATTACACTACGCTACCTCAGAATTACAAAGTTCTATCTGCTCAGTACCTAGTTTTGGGAAATTTAACGTCAAAGATTTTGAGTTTCACATAATGACCACTTTTTCGAATTCATTTATTTGAATGTCTTCATAACGAAACCGGATTATCTTACGATTTTGATAGAGCAGATAGATCATTTTGTTTCTAACATCATGGCTTTAATAACTCAAAAGGCCAAAAGTGTCATATAGAACTTTGCAAATCTAAGGTAGCGACTAGTCGACCCTACCTCCTTCATTCATAAATATTTCGACTTTTATTTGAGGCATATTGGGTAATTTTTTAAAATATTGTAACGCAAGATAAACCAACAAGCTTTGAGATGATACCAATAACTGCATAAGCCCAAAACTTGACAAATGCCTGATTTCACCGTGCGGTGACACAATTTTTAATAATAAAATTTAAAAAGAAAATAATAGTATATTATAAAGAAAGAAATGAAGAAATTATATTTTTATTATTTCGTAAGGCAGTTTTACATACATCGAAAAAAGGAAATGATGTCACACGGATCTGCTGGCCTCCTGCTTCTGCTCAGTGTTGTTTCCATGGCGACCAGTCAAGCTGTGGATCTCACTAGGTTACCGGAGGCTAAAGGAGAACCTGTGGTGCGGGCAACTGTGTCACAGATCCGAGAGTCGTGTGCCTTCCAGAACGATTATCTCTATCTGAAGAGGCTGGCTTTTGTGTCCTCGGAGTATGGCATGGCTTCTGGATCATTTAGACCAAGGTTCCACGGGGGAATATGGCAGGTAAGGGATATATATATATATATATATATATATATATATATATATATATATATATATATATATATATATAAAGCATCCCTTGTTCCCTCAAAGAAAATATCAGTCAGACATAAAAGACCAAGGCTTCTGATATGTAACTGAGAAAGGTACAGAAGGTCATTTTTACCATCATTCATCAAACTTCTTCTATCTCAACCATCGTGTTACAAATAGTCATATGACCTTAGAGCATGCATCAGAATCCCATAAAGTTACAATCAAAATACTGAGTATGTATGTAGCTTAACATTTTTATGTTTATATTACTGTTTATGTGCATCATGCATGTGACTGTAAGCCTGTTTGTGAGTGCAAGCATACTGCGTGCGCGCGCGCGCGCGCGCGTGTGTGTGTGTGTGTGTGTGTGTGTGTGTGTGTGTATGTGTGTGTGCGTGTGTGTGCGTATGTGCGTGTGTGGGTGTGTATGTGCTTACGTGGTGAAACACCATACCATTGTGCCAGGATCTGGAAAATAAAGAAGTGTTGATCTTTTATATATATATATATATATATATATATATATATATATATATATATATATATATTATATATACAGAGAGAGAGAGAGAGAGAGAGAGAGAGAGAGAGAGAGAGAGAGAGAGAGAGAGAGAGAGAGAGAGAGAGAGAGGGGGGGGACAGGCGAGAGAAATAATGAGAAAGTGAGAGTGAGAGAGTGAAAGATATAATAGAGAGAGAGAAAGAGAAAAAGCGAGAGACCACGGTTCCACGCGAGGACATGGCAGGGGAGTCCATGTGTATGTGTGGTATGTGTGTGTGTTCTTGTGTGTTTTGTGTATGTGTGCAGGTGTGGGAGTCCTTTTTTTTTCGTTTATGACATTACGGTAGACTAAAATAGAAATTGCTACACTAGAATTCCAACCTTCTATCTGT